AGGGGTGTGAGTTTAAACCACCAGGTCTGGGACGCGAACCACGACTATGTGGGAGTCCAGCGACATAGCCATTACACTAACTGCTGGTCCCATAGCCATGCCATTACACGCTGTATCCCACAGGAGCGATACATACAAAGAAACAGAAAAAGGCAATTAGATTGCCAAAGCAATTCTGCACAAGAGTGGAGTGGGTGGCACCTCACTTCCAGACCCACAAATAAACTACAAAGCTGTGGTAATCAGAACAGCATGGTTCTAGCACAGAAACAGACAGGTGGACCAATGGAACAGAACAGAGTCCCCAGAAATAAATTCCCAAACTTACAATCAAGTGATTTTTGACAAAGGGTACCAGTTAATCCAGTGGGAAAAGGAAAACCTCTTCAGCAAATGATGCTGGAAAAACTGGATATCTACCTGCAGAAAGATGAATCTGAACCCCTACCTCTCACCATTGACAAAAATCAACTCAAGGGAACCAGCAGTTAGCGTAATGGCTATGTCACTGGACTCCCATGTAGTCGACCGCGATTCGCATCCCGGACCCAGTGGCTTAAAACTCACGCCAGGCGCGTGTGCGTGCATGCCCAAGATCCCAAGCGGAGAATGGAGGAAAAGGGATTGTGGTGTGACCATCCCCCCAGGGGGTGATTTCTCGCTTTCTGTCTCTATGTCTCTCTCTGTCTGTCTGGCGAGCGCATGCGCCCTACAGCAAAAAAACCTCTCCAAAAAAAGAAAAACGTACCAGGCACATGTACATGTATGCCCAAAACCCCGAGAGGGAGAAATGGAGAAAAAACTGTTGCATGACCATGTCCCATGAAGGTGCTTTCTTGCTCTCTCTCTCCATCCATCAAATACATGTGCCCTATGGCAAAATTTTTCTTAAAAAAGTGTATTTGTTGTTTTATCCCCTAATTTTATACTGACTTCACTCCTATTTTGTATCTTTTTTCTTTCCAGATTTCTTTGACATTATTTTCCAACACTTCTACTAAGTTTTAAATTTGGTTACATATTTCCAAGACTTAAAAAATGCCATTTCTTGAAAGTACCTTTTCCTATCACTCCATCTGTTTTATTCTTGTTACTTACAGTTAAGAAAAAAAGAATTTATATCTATCAATAGAATGGCTAAAAGCCTAATACATCATAACCAAGTGGGTTTTCCCTCAGGAATGAAAAGATTGGCTTAACATTAAAAAAATGAATCAATATACAAAAGTGTCTTTAATCAAAATTGTTGGCATATAAAGAACAATTTTAAGGAATTAAACAACAACCAAAAGAGATGCAGGCCAGCCTTTCACAGTATTTTTGTAAACTATGCATCAGATAAGGGACGGATAACCAGAATACACACAGAATTCAAGCAGCTGTCCGGAAAAAAGTTGATTGACCTTATTAAGAGATGGGAGAATGAGTTGAAAAAACAACTCTCTAAGGATGACATACGAATAGCCAAAAGGCATAAGAAAAAATTGCCACATCCCTTATTGTAAGGGAAATGTAGATCAAAGCAACAATGAGATACCACCTAACCCTAGTCAGAATGACTAAGATTAAAAAA